CGACAGAAAACTAGCAACGTTTTAGTTTACGGCAGTAAACAGTTAGCAACTTACCTGCTAACCTGTCGCATCACCGTTAAAAGGATTTTATTGGTCCAAAAACTGACTTTGATACACAAATTGCGGCTCGTTTTAAAGAAAACACTTAATCGATTAAATTCTGCTCGTTAAACTTCAAGCGACATAAAATATAACCCGAAAAAAAGAAGGAATATATTCGTCGTTTAGTTTTATAACAGCGACAGAAACTTTTTCAACCGCGACATTTCCATCAATTTAAAGTTTTGGCTAAAGTTTTGACCAATCATGTACCATATCTCTGAAATCGGGAAACGCCCACGAACTAAATCAACCAATCAGCATCTTCCGCCGACGTAACCTGAGCAATTTAGCGGGCATTTAACTCCATCAGCCAATCAGAGGACAGCATATTTATCCGAACCTCACGTGTGTTTAATTGACAGCTGCCTTCGTCCAATAGGAAGTCAGGTCCGTCAAAACTCTCTGAGTTCGTAGCCGGTAAAATTACCTGCCGGACCATATATGGAAGTTAATGCAGTTTGACTGTGTGTCATTGTGAGACACAAATATAGCAGAAAAATGGTTTTATCTGTCAAAAAATTGCAGATTTAAACCAAATAAAAGTGTAAATTTTTATGAGAATTCTAAAAATAATGTTTTTATGAATAAGTTTAACATTTAGTGACATTTTTAAGTTTCATAAACAGGATTTATCAAAATTTTTTGGGAACTTTTCAGAGTTTTTTGAGGAGCTCTGTAGTGATCTGATGGAGATGCTCTGCACTGCACTTTATGAAATATCTCAGAGCCACTTCTCTCTATGAACATCAAATTTGGCAGAGACGTTATAGACAAAATGACGGTGCAATCCTGTGAATTTCAGCCTGATAGCCCTCATTATGACTGATTTACTGCATTTGAAATACAAAGTAGGAGGTTGAAAATGACAGACCTTCAGTATTTTCCCATTAATTCCTCCAACAAGTTACCTGTGTTAGAGCTAGAGGTGAGACTCACGAGCGACATGAAACCTCAGACAGTTTCCTTCCCAGTGTTGCAACGAACAAATATCATGTTTTTATGCTCCTGAAATTATAAAGAAGGTCAAATTGATCGATGCAAAGATGCAGAACTATGTCTGACTGTGATAAGCCCTAAGAGGTTAAGATAGGATCTAAAGGGGAAAAGAAAACACATGTTAGAGATGTTTGTGTGATATTATCAACTTGTCATACAGGTAAAACTGGAGGAAAGAAACTCAGAGGTGTTTATTAGACATATTTGTTGACAATCAAAAACTACAAAAACAAGCCAAAGTCACAGTTTTATAAGCGTCTCATGGAAGAACTCACCAACAGTCAGACTGATGCTGGATCGTATTTCTCCAGATTTAGAAGAACACGTGTAGGTTCCACTGTCTGACGTCTTTGTTTTTCTGATCACTATGGAGGCGTTACCAAACTGGAGTTGGTCGGGGAAATGAAAGACCCGACCTTTAAAGTGTGGATCTTGATCTGCCGGTCTGTGGTACTGAGAGTAGAAGAAAACGTCCTTCTTTTCTTTGTCGTTATCCTTATCTTTCATCCAGTCAAACAACCCATTTTTAATGTCTAAATCGCCAAAGGAACAGTCCAAAATGGCGTCATCGTCTTCCTTCACCTGCATCGTGGTGGTAGCTGGAAGACAAAAACATGAATTAATCAGTGATGTGGACACAAAGAAAGTCAAGAAACACAGTTTACATGAGGTCTGAAACAGCAGTTTATGAGCAGCTCAGTGGAAGGCACGACTTCATCCAAAGTAGGGAGACTGAGGTCACCT